TAAATTTCCAAAGAACAGGCATTTTTCAAATACACCTGTGTGTATTGGCATTTTCTTAGGCATCACAGCTGGAGAAGCTCATTCCAGCTCTGAAGCAATGCGCTCCAGCTAAATAGCCAAGACCATGATGCAGTGATATCTAGCCCTCTGAAATGAATATGCAAATGCCACCCCATGTTGAAAATGTTTTTTTGATCATGTCAGTTTTTAAAATTTATCTTTATTTAAAGCAGGAAAAAACAATAATGAAAGAACAAAAGGAAAAGGGGGAAAAGGCAAAAATTAATACGTATGTATGTGTGTGTGTGTGTGTGTGTGTGTATATGCTTCTCATACAGTACATATCTATGAATATGAACAATATCAATGAAGGATAAATCCCTCCATTTTTAACAGCTATAGGTTAGTTTTTAATCTACCATTTTTAGCCAGGGTGGTTAAGTAGGATATGGCTGAACAATTCTAGGCACTTCTAATTATCTAGATTTGTTTCATTCTGGTTCAGGACATGGCATAGGACTTTAGTTGCCCTGAAGAGCAATCTGTTGAGGGAGTGTGATAGGCTGCTCATGCTCCTGGATTTCACAGCAGCTTTTGATACCATTGATCATGATGTACCCTGGATCAGCTGAGGGTAAGCAGCACAGCACTATCCTGATTCTGCTTCTACCTTATGGCAGGTTCTAGTAGGTAATATTGGGGGAGTTCTGCTCCCCTCCTGCAATATCTGGACTGTGCGATTGTACAGGGTTCTCTTCTATCCCTCCTAGAATACAGATATTTTTCAATATTTAAATGAAGCCACTGGGTGTGTTTGTTAAAGGATGTGGAAGTAGGCACCATCTTTATGCAAATGACATCCAGATTTACTTCTCTTTTCCATCTTCATCAGATGTGTTGGCCTCTGAGGCCAGTCCTACCTTGGACTAGACTGTGTTCTGAGTGAGGCATAACTGTTACTTGACCATATTAGTGATAACTTTTCTAATTGAGGAGTTCCTTTGAAAGAATGGGTTTGCAACTTGAGTACTTAATGCTGCTCTGTCACTGAGTGCTCAGGTAAGCATGGTGGCAAGACTGCCTTCTTTCAGCTGTGCATGGCTGAACAACTTCACCCCTTCCTGGATCACCCAGCTTCTATGATTAATGTATTTTATGTGTGGATATCTTTGAAAGAAGCCCAGAAACCACAGTGCATCCAGAACTTGGAAGCTAGGCTTCTGTCTGATGTTCCGTATTGGGAGTATGTGACTAAGTAGCACTGGCTTCCTATTATCTTCTGAATTATATTCAATGTGCTTTTTTAACATATAAATCTCTTTATGATCCTAAAACTACTTCTCCATTATGTTATAAACTGGAAACACTGCTCATCTTCTATAGGCTTATTATAAGTGCTGCCTAAAAAGAAAGCCTGGCTAGAAACAACTATGGCCAGGGCCTACTCAGGGTAGCACCAGCTCTGTTAAATTCCCTTCCCTGGGAATATGGACCTTAATTTCCAAGGCTGATTTTAAGAGAAACCTGAAAACCTACTTGTATAAGCAAGGATTCCCTTCCAATTATTCACGTTTCTGATTTTGCATGATGCCCAGTCTAGAGGTCTTCATCCTTTATTTGCATTACTTATTGTTTATTCTTTTATTAATGCTGTTTTACTGTAAAGAATACCTAACTATTCTCATTGTTGTATTGTAAACCTCTGTGGGATGACTTGCCAGGAACCTGCAAGTATAAATTTGACAATAACTAATTAAATAAATAAATAAGCAAGCACTGGCACTAAAAGTTCATGAGAAATCAAACTCTAAGTGTCTTAACTTTGAGATGCTTTTAAAAGGCATAACCTCACTAAAAGGTTTTAGTAGGTTTAATGAAGGATCAAGGACTTCCCCATAAATGTGTTGGCAATTGCTTTTAATATTATAATTGGTCTTTTGGTTTTTGGTATGTGTAAAACGTTGCTGTTGTAATTTTTTTACTCTTGTGAGCTACAATGAAATGATCCAAATTAATTAAGTAAGTGAATAAACTACTGCTGATTTCTCCAGACATAATACAGACATCAACCAATGTGATTACAATAGACATGCCATGGTCCCCGCCATTCTGCAATGACCTGGTACATTAATGACATCTTGCAATCATTATCCTCTAGGATTATAATTATTTTAAAGTCATCTTCTCTATCTGCTGTTCTCCAGTTGTTAGACTTCAAGTGCCATTAATCCTATAATAGTAGGAATTTAAGTCTTACATATGGAGGGCACCAGAATGGGAAAGGCAGTGTTAGAGCGAAGAAATCTTCTGTAGAAAGCCAAGGTATTTTGAAATATTTACTGACATATTACTAAGTCCCTCAGTACCTGGTTATGTGATCAGGCCTGGGGCTCCCAGGGGACCAAGGAGATTTTACGATGGTTCCCTTATTAATTTTATCCCCTCCTGTTTTGTGTGTTTTTACAGTTTTTTATATGTAATTGTTTTTATATATTTATTTTTTAATTGTTGTACGCTGCCCAGAGTCACCTCGTGTGAGATGGGCGGCTATATAAATATGATAGATAAATAAATAAAAATATTTACTGACATATTACTAAGTCCCTCAGTACCTGGTTATGTGATCAGGCCTGGGGCTCCCAGGGGACCAAGGAGATTTTACGATGGTTCCCTTATTAATTTTATCCCCTCCTGTTTTGTGTGTTTTTACAGTTTTTTATATGTAATTGTTTTTATATATTTATTTTTTAATTGTTGTACGCTGCCCAGAGTCACCTCGTGTGAGATGGGCGGCTATATAAATATGATAGATAAATAAATAAATAATAGGAAAAAGGCCTTACAAAATGCTATCATGATGGAATGGCCAGTCATAAAAGAAAATGTTAATGTTAAAAATGTTGGTGAGCACCAAAGGAGAAGCCTACAAGCATTGGTTGCCCACAGGCACCATGTTGGGGATCCCAGTTCTAAAAGTACAGTCTAATTAAAATGGCCATCCCCCCAACAAAAAAAAAAATTCTTAAACACAAATGAAGCAAAAACATAACTAATTCAAAGAGCCAAGAAATCTTTTTCCCAAAAGATTTGCTATTTTGCTATTCAATCTTATTTCCTGCCTTTGAAACATAAAGGGCTTAACTTCAAAGGGTAAACAGTGGGGTGCCTTTAGAAGGCTCTGAAAAAATATTTATTAAATTTTGACTATTGTGTGGACTAACTGTTAATATTTCATCTCAGTTGCTTAGCTGAAGACTTGCAGGTTTCTTTTAACTATTTAGAAAGATTTCTTTTAAATTATTGGTTTTTAACTGATAACTTCTTTTTCAGCTATGTGAAATTCATTGGTGTTTTTTCCTTATAATCACCAGCTATAGAAAATATCTCATTGACTTTGTTAACATTGATGTTTTAAAGATATTTCCTGTCTATATTTCATTTTCCCTTCCTTCCTTTGCATCACAACTGACGGCTCAGTCCTACTGGTAGTAGACTACAGGTAGTCCTCGCTTAATGACCCTAACTGGGACCAGCAACTCCACTGCTAAGCAAAGCGGCTAGAAAGAGTCAAGAATACAGGTAGACCTCTAGTTACGATGTGACATCACGTGACTGCATCACTTAGCGATGGAAATACCTGCAGTCCTTGTTGCCATCATTAAGCAAGGATGGTGGGTCGTTAGCCACGCACCCCCTTGCATCTTCCTGTGGGCTCCCAACAGCAAAAGTCAGTGGGCGAGCCAGCAGGAAGTTGCAAGCCCCAGGTGGCTTGTAGGCAGGCCAGCTGGCAGGCAGGTGACTACTACCAGCTGGGGGAGGCAGTGAGGGAGGAGGGTGGCCGAGGAGGCACAGTATGAGCCCGGTAAGGCTTGGGATGGCTGCTGCTGGGCTTGGGATGGTAGTGGGAGGGTGTTTGAGTGGCCAGGGAGGGTGTGCAAGTGCCAGGGAGGCATGGCATGAGTGCAGTGAGGCTCAGGAAGGGTCTCCGAGGGTGTGTGGGTAGCTGGGGAGGTGCGGCATGAGCACCACGAGGCTTCAGGAGGGTGCATGAAGCCAGCTGGGTGACCTTGGGCCAGTCCCTCTCTCTCAGCCCTAGGAAGAAGGCAGAAAACTGCAGGGACTAGCCCAGGCAGTTCCCGTGGGTCAACACTGATTTGAAGGCACACGCACATGGAAAAAAAAAAAAAAATGGGGAGCAGCATGTCTTGTTGTGGTCAATACAATAGGGATTTGGGCTGCTGTTTATCACAATGGAAAAGTGTTACTGATCAAAGCTCTCTTCCTCTCTTAATATGTTTTTGTTCCGGTAGGAAAAGACCCAACCACTGAATATTGGGTGACTTTGGGCTGGGCACTATTTTAAATGCCTGATTTCCACATGCAACAGAATTGAGGATAAAATAGGTCTTGGGAAAAGGGAGTAAAGAATATCACGTAGGAAACGCGGACTGTTAAGTGTAATAAATGTTTAACTGGTTTGTGCTTTGTCTGCCATTTGAAAAATGGGATAATTAAACACCATCCAATTAAATCACTTCGCGCAAGGCAGTTCCACTCCTACACACGTAGGCCCCACTGAATTTAGTAGGCCTACTTGCCGAGCAAGCATGCGTAAAATCACAGCATTCAGTGTTACTCTCGGGAACTATACCAGCCTTCCCCACCTTCTCCGGGGATGGAGGAAGGCGCAGCCTGGCGCGTCTGGAAGGCAGGAGAAGACGCGATTTGGCATATTAGGTCCGCTTTTGCAGAACCTCTCCCTCCCGCATTTCCAATATCCGCTGCGGGATCCCTTCTCTCGCTTCCTGAACCACCCTCTACACCCCAAAGCGTACTACTACGTCTCGGAAAGCGGACGATTTTAAGCCACGCCTCCCGTTGCCCTAGTAACAAGGCCGAGGCCCGAGACGGAAAACCAAGTCCCTCCTTCTCGGGTGGTACCCAGCTACGTCTGCGCACTGCACTTGAGCGTCGGTTTGTCTGGTTTCTATGACAACGACTCCGGCTCTGAGTCCTCGGCGGCCAGAGACAAGATGAAGCTGAAACGGTTTTTGCTGCGATATTACCCGCCGGGTGCGGAAAGGT